TATGTATGTATGTATGTATGTATGTATGTATGTATGTATGTATGTATGTATGTGTATATGTGTGTGTGTGTGTGTGTGTGTGTGTGTGTGTATAAATTTGTGATTTTCTTTATATTTGTCACTTGATGATGTAAGATAAGTAGGAGTGTATTGGGATGTATGCACCACATTCATAATTTTTAAATGTTTTTTTTTCTTTTTGTTTGATTAATAAAAATTAATAATAAAAAGAAAGAAAAACAAGAAAGGACAATTTCCTTTTGAAAAAGCACCTTTGGACACACACACACACACACGCAAATATCATGCAAAAACATGGCAGAGAGTTTATTAATTTATCTTAAGGGTGAAACTATTATTGTAAACCAAGTATTTTGTTTGTGCTCTTTCTTCATTTTTAAATTTTTATTTTATATTCATTGTATTAATTTTAAATCTCAAATAATTAGTAATGCTTGTAACAATAAAATTTGAAAGCATGATTAATATTAATTGAACATCTTTTTTCTTATATTTTCTCTTATGTATATTTAATAATGTAAGTTGCCTACAGTATATGGTAGAATACTAAGAATATAATAAACTCTATATTTATTGAATTGAAATAATGTTACATTAAAAGTAAGGAAATGGAACAAATAGATAATTTATATAACTTAAAAGACTGAGCTAGTTCTATAGTTTTAACTGAACATCACACAGAGACTCTCTATGAGTGAAATGGGCAGGTTCTAAATGTGACAAATAAAGAAAGAAAATAAAACAAAATATAGGTATACTTTTAGTTTCTACATGTCACCTGTATATTCATTATTCAATTTTTTAAAATTTGATTAGTACGGTTTAATTTTGGATTGTAATTTTACATAGGTTGGTTATATTATATATATATATGCATATGTATCATACAGATACTCAAATAGAAGCTAATGTAAGCAATTATTTCGGGTGGAAAGTTTTAATCTTAAAAAAAAAAGATTCACATTCTTAAATAAGGTTAGAATGACTTCATCTGATATAATACCCAGAAATCTCCCCCACCCAACACAAAAGGAAAAAGGAAAGGAAGAAAATATCATTTATTAACTCACTGCTGTTCAGAGTAAAACATTATATGTTTAGTTGTTTGGAGACAGAGGTTATTAGAAGTGTTCAAACTACGGCCTGAAGTGAATTTCATGTTGGGAAATAATTATGATACTCTCAAGATTTTGGTATTGTGTCCACTTGATTTTAAAAGTCAGCTCATAGAAATTTTAAGACAAAACATTAATATTTTACGTTATACACAGGTCACTCTTTCAACACTATGCTGGAAAATTAAGCTTGATTGTATATTACTTTTGTGCAACAGTTGTAATTAGAATAAAATTTGGATGAATATCAGTGCTCAGATGTTGGGAGAAATGGGCACTCTGGAATGTTTGTGGAGTTTCTGATATGGTGACTCAACATTTTAAAGTTTTGCACTGGATAAGGAATTAGAAGAATTGGAAAGAATCCAACTACAGTTATCTTATCAGCTGCAGTAACTTGAGAAATGCTGAAATGCACACTACTTTCAAACAGGGTCAGCAATCTTTTCAGGCATTGTATAATTTCATATGATGCTGTAAATGTTAAAGCATAAGCATTAAAAAGTCTCTTTTTTTTCATTTTAAGAAACCGAGGTCTTATCAGGTTGCGTGTTTGTTTGTTTTTGCCTGATAATTCATAAGAGAGAGAAAAACATATGGCAGTCTCATAGCATTTTGGTCATTTTAAGACAGCAATCTAGAGAGGATATGCTACCAATAAGCAGCATATTTCTTTTCCTTACAGTTCTACTGTTAGAAACGTAACAACCAATTCTTTGCTTCCATGTATATAAAATAATTCTTTGTTGGTAAGTTGTGGCATTTGGGGCTTTTTAGTTTATACAGAAGGACTATGGGATTACAGGATTGTAATATAAATACACAGTTATACCTAGAATGAAGAACATTTACACACACACACACACACACACACACACACACACACACACACACGTATATTTGTGCCTCAGTATTCTGTACCGTGATTAGGCAGTCACAACAAGGATTGGGATTATAACTTCCAAAATTCTTAGCCTTTGGCCAGCTTGCTGTGGGAATTCTAGGAACTCTATTCACCTTTCACTTGGGTATTCCCCACTGCAAAAAAAAACCTATTATATCAGTATTTGTAAGTTTCCTGGCTATTGTTTAAAATGGTGGATTTTTGGTCAAATATATCATGGTACTCCTAAAGAATCCAAGAGTATATAAAGATCTGATATTTTAAATCTGTCCAATTCTTGTACACCATTCCAACTGACAAATAGATAGCTCAGTGCAGCAAGATTTGCTAAGTTCAAATGTAAAAAGGGTATAATGAAGATTGTTTAAAACAAATCAACTGAAAGCAACAAATTGCATTTAAGAATATTGCTAAATATATTGTAACAGAATTTATTGAGATTTACTTGCTGTAGAACTTAATCCAATTGTTGAGTTTGAAATTTATCAGGATTAATCTTATAAAAAACAGAGAAATCCTAAAGGCCAGTGGTGGGATTCAAAAAAATTTACTACCAGTTCTGTGGGCGTGGCTTGATGGGCATGGCAGGAGAAGGATACTGTAATATCTCCAGTCAGAGGTGGTATTTGCCGCTTCTCCAAACTACTCAAAATTTCTGCTACCGATTCTCCAGAACTGGTCAGAACCTGCTGAATAGTTTGCTACAGACTATTACCTAGCACAACATTCCTATGAAAGAATTATGTAGGCTATTTACTAGTTCATGCTTACAGTTCATTTAAATTTCAATCCTACACTGACTAAGACCTACTGAAATTAAGGCAATCCTATAGTGGCTGAATAGATCTAAATAGAAGTTTCTTTGGTATTTTTGAGGGAGGCAAAGTCCATGGTGTTCCAGAAGAAGAAATAACGATACTGTCAGGAGCATCAAAAATTCTGGGTGATGCTAAAATACTCTACCTTGTATGGTGTTTTACTTCATTTCTGAAGATTTTAGGCTTCATGTTCTATCTAAAGGCCTTGAAGTGGAGCCAGCTGATATTGTGTTAGTATAAATGCATGGCAAGTTACCAAAAAGCTTTGAGAATCCCATTGTTAGTGGGAGTAACTTTCCTATGAAAAGAAGTATTACTTAATCTATTATAGAGGTCCATTCTACTAAGAGCAACATCTGATGACTTAAAACTTTGTTTCCTTTGCAGCAAACATTAGCCTAAACTGTCCACAACAACCTGTTCATATAGTTTCCTGCCAGAGGCCGGAAGTCAGGCCTGTTTCCTTTCCACATGCTACAACAGGAAGGGCACAGTGAAGAAATTTCCTGAACATACTCCTCATCCACCCTTTCTCTGACAGCAGTGGAAGAATGATGTGGAGCAAGTATGACGAAAAAGATAACCTCAGGTTCATTCTTTCAGGACACAGTGACAAAGCACACCAGGCATTCAGCTGATGTCTGAGATTTGGAGGTGTTTCGATAAGAAATAAGTGTTGGGTTTCCAAATTCAGAAGTCAGCCAAGTACCTAAATGGCAATTCCAGCAAAGCAAATATTAGTATGCCCTTAACAAAAGCTGTCCTGTTCTAAGGTACCTGATCCAGTTCCTCAACTCCCTTCTTTAGTGTGGATTAACACCAGGGCAACTTGGCAACACAAATGAAAGAAAGCAATGACTTTTTTCCCCACTACAATTCTTGGGTAGGGCCTTCTAAATTTTCATACCACCATCACCTTTCCTTCTGCAGTCATTGGACCCTGGCATTTCTTCATTTCCTTTCTGCAGTATAATCATATGCAATGAAGATATGCATGGCCAACATTTAAGCAGGCTGCAGATCAATTAGTGGTCTTAAGTTTATCTGATTTTTATCAAAGAAGACAGAGCTGTGGGTCGATTGTCAGAGCCTGTGTCAAGATGACCTTTTCAGAGATGTCTACATTGTTGGTCCCCTGGGCAACTTGTTGTCCCCCGTTAGACTCTGAATGACAGAAGTCTGTTCTGCTCAAGCACAAAGTATACACAGATGTCTATATTACATTCTTATAGGTTTGACAGCAACTGCATGTTGTATCTATAAACTGTCCTTTAGCAGTGACACATCCTCAATGATGATAAGCTAATTTATGCAGTTAAATCTCTTTTGTGAAGAAATGAAAGCTAATTGAGTCATTACAAAGTAATTCAGAAAGGAATACCTTGTATAAATAGGCTTACTTTGTAAATCCTTCTCAAGCAATTTTCATGCATCCTAAATGGGGCTATTCAGATTCTGCCCTCCACCAAATCCCACTCAGCTTTAGTACCATAGGAGAATAGTTAAGCTTCTGGAATTTCAAATATCTTTATTTATGCTAAGAAGTATAACAAGTTTTCAAAAACAAATATAAACACCACATCCAACGCACCTGAAATACTGCTTACAGTGTCTTGGCTTTGTTTCTTTGATTCTTCACTCTTTCCTGGCATTTCAGCTACTGTTGCTTCTTCTTCTGCAGATACAATACATTCAACAAAAAAGTTAGCTTAAAGAACTTTAGTCCTAGATCATTCAGAAAAGATCAAGACAATAATTCATTTGTGCACACTTTATCTCTCAGAGACTTCAGAACATGTTAAAGGCTTAAACTGTGCTAAACACTCACACTCCCTTAATTACAAACATCAACATTTTGAATAAAAAACGTCCATTGCATATTTACAACTATTTATTTCTCTAAACAAAAAGTAGATTCTAATTGCCAACAGGTCAGCCTTCCCAAATCTGGTCTCCCAGAGATGGTATTAGATTTTCACTGTGGAGTTGAGTTCAACATATTAGAAGTTTCCAGTAGTTCTTTTCAGTTTGAATGTGCTTATAATCGATATATGTTAAGGTTATTTTTAATACAGCATTCTCCTGAAGCCAAAATTTTATTTCAGTTTACCTACTTACATGGTGATAACCACTAGCACTTTAAGACAATGCTTCCCAAGGCATTTTGCTTCCTAAAGCAGAGTTCAAAGTTTGACCCAGTTTCATGGCCATCCCAATCAGAGTAATTTCTGAATAACCACTCTCTTATTCATTGAAATAGTGCATGAACCAGGTCACTTCAATTTACCTCCTGGCAGAACTACCTCTGCATCAAACTGACATACTTGCAGCCTCCCTCCACCCCGCTTTTAAGTTATAAATATGTATGGAAAGCTTTATCATGTTTCAAATTGTATAATTAAATCAACACAAATTAATCTTCTATATCAAGAATGAAACACTAAAAGCTTTAGACCATGGCTATTCACATCAAGTGACTGCTCCTTTATCCATCTAGACCCAATACTGTTTTACTCCTACTGGGAGGCATGATCACACAATTTCCTTACATGGAATTGTGGCTATGCCTTATTTTACTTTTAGAACAGTTTGTGCATGATATACTGAAATACTTGGAAAAATTCCAACATCAGTTCTGAGAAAATTTGTGAACCGGCTGATTCTAACCACAAAATGCTGTTTTGTAGATTAGAACATCACAAACTATGCAATTATCAGGTTATTATAAACGTGGGGTTGTAAAATGGTCTGTAGGAATATTGTTGAGAGATAGAAAAGGGAAGAGCTGCAGCAAGGGCAACAGTCAGATAACAGCATCAATAATCATTACTTTCTTATCTGGACTATTTAGAAAGCCTGACAGATTGGTATACTTCAGAAGCAGTTCAGAGATCTATCAATTTATATAACCCTATGATTTTTACTGATTGTTATGAACAAGTTCTTGCTTATAATTAATAAAGAGCACACTATCACCAGCAAATATTGAGGATGATTTAATTATCACTACAATATTGCACCTAACTTCAATTCCTATAACTAACAGCCCATTCACAATTAAGATTCAGTTTCAGGAGTATTACTCGAGGAATAACCATGTCACAATTCTTGGACCATAACAATTCAGTCAGAGACTAGTAACATGACTGAGTATTGCAATTCAGACTGAATCGCTTTATCTAATCTAATTTGATCTGATTGCTTCTCTTAGCAACTAGCTGTGCTCTGACTAAGGCAGAGCAGATGGTTTGATGTCTATTTAAAAGAAAGCTAACATCAATAAGTAGTTTGTGATAATATTCAAAGTACAATCTGTGGCTGTGTGTGCTCACTTTACAATTCATTTAACTGCTGAGGTCAGCATGTTGAATCTAATGGGGAAATCCAGCTTGCAAAAGTCTGCAATGAAACTCCTTGGGTGGGCCACAGTATGTCTACCACCTTATAGCCTACCAGATGAGGATTTTGTACTGTATAGATAAAATAGCCCCTTTTCACACAAAGGAAAATGCTATGAAAATGCAGAATAGTACAATCATGTTATATGTTAATCAAGCACACTGACAAGATTTGAAAAATCTTTCTATCTTACTGTCAGAGCCACCAACTCTTCATTCGTTAGTCACATCTTATGAACATTCAGATCCTTTGATGTCCAGTGGGGAATCCACCGTTTCAATGGATATCACAGCGTTAAATAGTTTACACTTGATAAACACTATTTAATGTGCAGCATTCTGCAAAAGACCATTTTTGCTGCTAAAAATGTTGACAAACTATTTATTTGCGATATTCAAGCAATGGTGCCAGCTGTTCCTACCAATTTATTACTGTACAGTCTTGGCAAATGATAAACAATGCAATATTTAAGTTTAGTTGCACTTAATTAAGAAATCTGCTCTTTCAAAAACACTCTTCCACATAATTTAGTCTAGGCAACCCATCAACCATTAGTGGACATTATTCCAGATTCTCAAAGCCATATGTTATTTCATAGTTGTATACCCTGCCAGTTAAATATTTACTGCATATACAATTTTTAATTTTTATAATAGTTTTAGAATACATAATAATGTTTGTGCACGTCTGTCTGCTTGCATAAATAAAGAAGATAATTTTCTCATTCAAGTTTAGAAAATAATTACAGCAGCTTTTTTGACTTCTTAAATAAATTAATTATAAGATTAAACAATCCCGTATCATATTTCCTTTCTTTACTGCTTGAATAATTACATATGATTAAATACACTTCGAGGAATTTCTTTGGACACTCAAGAAGATACAAAGAGGTGAACACTTCACATTCAATAGATAAAACAATAAACATCAAATTAAACAGATATAAAAAATTTGTCGAAGTTTGGTTTCTGTGGTGAAATTCTGCAACAACACAAGTAATCTTTGCCTTACAAACCAATTTTTAACTAAGTCCTTCTATCTGCCTCTCATTCAAAGCTCTAGTCGTTATCATAAATATACCTACATTAGCCCTAATTAATAGCACATTAATAACAAGAAGCACTCTGTTGGGCTACATTAGTTAGAAGATGCTGTGTCACTGAACAATATTAATACTTCAGATAGCGAACTTGTGAGTTAATATATTCTACTCAATATTTCAACAACAGTAAACAAAAACAGCTCAACTATGCAGTAAAATTCATCAAAGCACCCAGATGGTTATAGGATTTTCATTATGTGGTTTCCATAGCAATCATATTGCAAATCTGGAAGCTTCTTGCAAATAAGCAGCTTGTGTTTACATGCTTTTCAGCTGCACCATGGAACTCTTCAATATGAGAAATGATTACTCCAATCACATAGAAAAATGACTGGAATATACAGTGATCAGTCACATTTTCTGTTGATATCTAAGACTAGTTTTTATGTGAAAACTAGTTGTTAATCACTTCATGCTCCTAGCAAAGGAACTTGTATTCTTTGAAAGCTGTGATCTCAACGTGTTAAATATGCAATACATGTTTCAACTGAATAGAATAGAATATTTTATTGGCCAAGTATGATTGGAGACACAAGGAATTTGTCTTTGTGTAAATACCCTCAGTATACATAAAGAAAAGGTACATTCATTAAGAATCAGGAATCATAATGTACAACACTTAATGATAGTCATAGGGTACAATCAACAATCAAATCATACTAGGAAACAGTCAAGTCGGAGGGGATGGGTGATAAGGAGTGGTGAGAAGATTAACAGTAACAGTAGTGTACACTTTGTAAATAGTTGAACAGCGTTGAGGGAATTATTTGTTTAGCAGAATGATGGCTTTCGGGAAAAAACTGTTCTTCTGTCTAGTTGTTCTGGGGTGCAGTGCTCTATAGCATCATTTTGAGGGAAGGAATTGAAACAGTTTATGTCCAGGATGTGAGGGGTCTGTAAATATTTTCACAGCCCCCTTTTTGACTCGTGCAGTAAACAGGTCCTCAATTGAAGGCAGGTGGGTAGTAATTGTTTTTTCTGCAGTCCTAATTATCCTCTGAAGTCTGTGTCTGTCCTGCTGGGTTGCAAAACAGTTATAGAGGTGCAGATGATAGACTCAATAATTCCTCTGTAGAACTGTATCAGCAGCACCTTGGGCAGTTTAAGGTTTCTGAGTTGGCACAGAAAGAACATTCTTTGTTGTGCTTTTTTGATGATGTTTTTGATGTTAGGTGTCCATTTTAGATCATGTGATATAGTAGAACCTAGAAATTTGAAGGTCTCTAAGAGGTGGTAGTATGGGAGGGTTTCTCCTAAAATCTACCACCATACCAACTGTACAAGTAAATTTACTGAATCACCTTTTAGACTCTACCGAAGTATTGTTGTGTACCTTTCCATGACCATCTAGAGAGGTAGGCAACAGCAACAATGTAGCAAACTGTACAGTATCTGGAGCACCAGACACAAGATAACCATCATAAACATTCTTGTTTTGAAAATTTATAGACCAGACACTTTAGGTAGATGATAGAGTCAGTATCCTGAATATTATAAAAGTTAGCAGTGTGTAACTAACTACCAGACCATCCCACTACCACAATGCAAGGTAAAATATTTAATTGATGCCATCTGTCATAGGGCTAATAATATCTGGGTGTATTTTAATATTATATTTGGGAAGGAGCTCATATCTGTTAGAAATAAAAACATTAGTTTTGACATCATTGCTTATATTTCTCTAGAGCTGAAGGCTATTTTTTTTCTGCAATTTTTTAAATATATCCCCATCCCCCAATTCTGTAAAAAAAAGACATTCTTCTGAGAGTTTCTACATATTTATTTATTTGTTAAATTTATTTGCCACCTATGTCACCATGAGGCTACTTGCCATTGACTGTTCCCAGAAGACTGCTAATATATAAAGGGGATCTGAATGATTCTGCTATGTAGAAATTTTGGACCACTTCTCCAGGCTGAATTACTTCAATTCAGTAACTGCTCATTTCAGACCTGCAGTAACATTTCTATAGAATTTAAATATGGAGTTTTGACTTGGTCGTGCAAAATATTGAATGTGTTATTTCCATTCAGCTTCATGTATGTTTGGAATCCGTTTTTGCTGTATGAACGTGTGCATTTCATCTTCAACTGATAAGTGCTATTTTTCTAAAGAATTTTTCCTAATATAATGCAAATTTCTACTATGTTTAATGATAGCAATTGTCAATGTC